CCCCCCCCCCCCCGACGCCTCTCGACTCTTTTCCAGTTGCCCCGCAAATACTACCATTCGCCTTCGGCGACGAGCCGGCCAGTTGGGGCGAACTAGTCTCCGTGACGTGTTCGGTGGCCAAGGGCGATCAGCCTCTCGAGATATCTTGGGCGTTTAACGGGACTCCGATCGACAGCCACCACGGATCCGACGTCGTCATAGGGAGCACGAACAAGAAAAACAGCGTGCTAACTATCGAGTCGGTCGCGGCGAGACACGCCGGCGAGTACACTTGTTCAGCGTCGAATCGCGCCGGCGCTACCACGCACTCTTCTCGCCTAACTGTAAACGGTACATGTGTACGGCCCGTTCGCGTTTTTGCATTCTATTCACACTACTTCTCTTCCCAGTAATGGTGGGATTTTCTATAAGCGTCAGATGCTTTAATCGAACGCATGCTCGTTTGACCCTGCCCATTTCGATCAAATTTATGCTCATTTCTCAATATTGTGTAATGAATATACACACACGACGATACTATGCAATTTTCATCCTCGAGACAAATTATCGTGAAATATCTCCTCAACTATTAGTTTCAGGACCAATGTGGCTCAATATGTTTTTTTTTTTTACTTGGAATTTAATATTCTTTCGATTTATGATGAAAAAAATGTATGGTCTAATAGAGGGGGAAAAAAAAAGAAAAAGAAAGAAAGATGATTCTTAACACACGTACAACGCCACATTTTGCCCCCCTTGAAACCATGCAACTTTTGTACCAAACAATTTTTCGTTAGACGCATAATTTAAAAGTTAATTTAGTGTGCAAGTACGCGATTCATACTGTATGGTATTATATAATTATTTATTTATTTATTTATTTATTCACGAACATACGTAGAAATACGTCGCAAGATACAAAAGGAAAGAGAGATTATGTTTCAGCCAAAAATGATAGAAATTCCTTCAACTTGATCGATATTGTAATTACACGAGCGATTTAAGATTCTGGACAATCAACTCAGTCGTTGGACTCAAAAGTTGCTAGCGCAGTTTAAATGCAATAAACCTACGTGAATTTTAATTGGAACGAGAATCAAACGAGCATTCGTTCATTCCATTTGCACACATCCTATGATAGTACGTTTACACCAAACGAACGGATGCTCGTTCGTCCCCTCATTTCGACAAATTCGCGTTCATTCATTACACTCGTTTAATGAACACAAGCATAAATTTGGTCGAAATACAAACATATAAACATATAAACGGACCATGATACATTCGATACAGTCGAAAGTACTCCTCTTTGTATCAGTATTTGTAAATGTGTATGTGTCATTGGTAGGAAATTTTTCAGAGACTACAGATTGATTTTCCTTTGACTGTTAATAAACAAAATTTTGATCTCAATTAAAAAGAAAAATAAAATATATATGCTTGATGCTTAAAGAAAATCCCGTCTTAAAGCATTCATCCTTGTCCTTTACCTTCTGCACCCTCTCGTATCCTCCCGATCGACGCTCGGATCTGTGATCACGCGGCTGCGAGTGGGGCTTCCCGCGTTAAGGGGGCGCAAAGTTCAATTTTTCGTAGGCGGTGAACGCGTCCTCCCCCTCGCACACGTGTATCTGATTGTTTCTCTGTATTGTTTCTCACCATTCGTTCCGCCCATGGTGCCGTGTCGCTCACGCAGTCGCGCCACAGATCCTGCAGTTCTCATTCGGCGACGATCCGCTCAACTCCGGCGAGATGCTGTCGGTCTCTTGCACGATCGTCAAGGGCGACTTCCCGGTGAATTTGACGTGGACGTTCGACGACACGCCGATAGACTCGAGCCGGCCGGACGTTAATATCATAATTAATAAGAGGGTCAGCTTCTTGAGCATCGACAGCGTGGCGGCCAGGCACGCTGGAAGATACAAGTGCATCGCGTCAAATGCCGCCGGATCCGACAGCCACACCGCCGTGCTCTCGGTCAACGGTATCTCATCCCCCTCGACTACACGAATTTATTACAACTTTTTTTTTTTTTTCTGCCAACTTTGTAAGTTAATCTGCCGATTAAAGGGCGCGCCGACCATTTTCAAGGGGCGATCGATCGCCGTAATGGGGTAACGCGGGTTAAAGCTTTTCGCCTTCGAATGTGGGTCGTTCTTTCGCGAAGTGCGCCCCACTTTTCTTCCCCCCCATCCCCTCTCTTACCGCTAAACTTTTCAGATTAAAGCGTTGATCGATCTGCCAACTTTACCGGCCGAGACTTTATCCTT